GTAACCTTTTGAAAGACAATAGAATAATACTTGATGTTTATTATATAATACCATCAATATTCATGTCTACCTATGAAAACAAACATAAATACACACACACAAATGCACCGTAATGGCATTCATGCACATGTTCACACTTATTTCACTGATATATCTAATCACCCAGTGCTACCTGCTAACTTCATCTTTATCTCCATATGCCTTTTGACACAATGGTCTATCATATTTTTGTGCTTAGTCTTCTTCATTGAACTGAACTGGACTTGACCAACTGTCATTACTTATTTGCCTGTCTTCCCCTCACATAGTCTTTCTTTCTAACTGGTTGGTTGGTGACGGTTAATCAATCCTATTATCATTAACATTATTATGTACCTGGATACTTCGCTTCATTTCCCCTGTTTCCTTGTAGTAGTTATCATTATCTTTTTAACTGATAAAGAAAAATCTCCTCTCTCTCAACCCTTGTGTCTCTTCATTGTCATTGTTCACATGAAGTACACTTCTTTCAAGTTTTCCTAGTGCCTGATTTAAACACATTGAGAGTTAGTTCCATTTCATCATGTGTGTGTAAATCATCAAATGTTAAACTGTGTTACACAATATGCCTTCTGAATATATATACGAAATTCGTCTCTGCTTTCTCGAATAGCCTGTGATATCGTATTTGTCATTTCCTGTTTTTCCTGGAGTCTTCCGTCTTCTGCAAAATCATCCTGTTGTTTTATCTTTTGTAATGATGAGAGATAGATGGAGGGAGGGAGGGAGAAGAAGAAGAAAGAAAAACTCGCATCTCCTACTCATCATTAATTAGAAGAGGCATCTCAACACTGATTACACATAAAAGCGGTTCCATACTATCATGGGATTTCTTTATTAACAATTATTTTCACTCGTACACTTCACAAAAACATATTATTATTATTATTTCTAATTCGTCAATATACACTCTAGTTTGGTCTTTTTTTCCTCCTCCTTTTCTGTTCAATTCATTCGTTGGTGATCCCATAGTGTTTATTATTACCGCTATTAATTATTGTTATTTAATTGGAGTACTCTGATGTCAGTTGTACTGTTTTTTTTTTTTACATAAACGTCGCTCCTCTTCATACACTCCTTTATGTAATAATGTTCATTGCTTTTTATGCTTTATTCGTTTGTACTACTACCACCACCACGACTACTTTCCTTTCCTCTTTTATTTTGTCACCAATTTCTTTTGTGCGTCCTTTTGTTATCCATTAAATCTCCTTTCACATTTCTATTATTTGCACACTAATCAAAACAAAAAAAAGTATTTTTAATATTTCTTTTATTCCACTTGACATCATCACGTATTGCTTTTGCTTGTTTGCTGCTTTAGAAATCGTTCTCCACATACACAAATACATACACTACTACTACTCTTCTATCAAAGTACACATGTGAAGTAGTTTAAAAATGTTATTCTCGGGAGGATATCTCATCAGTTTTGTTTCATTACCTTTGTGCTGCTTTGTCTATTTACCCATAACAACAAGAAGTTTTTTTTCTCTCGCTTCATTGATATACATTGAATTGTAATGGTATACATAAACATCCTTCTCTCTCTCTCTCTTCATTGTTTGTTTTGTTTTAATCCTAAGAGAATTGAATTATAAGAGACAATGAAATCTAGATATTAATAAGATTAGGGTGGATTCTCCTTTTAATCTATGTCTTCTAGAATATCTTCAATCAGTATCAGTGACACTTTGACATATGTGTGTGTGTGTACTGATGAATATCCAATTTCTATCCGACCGATAGTTGCTGCCTTTTTTTCATGGTAGTTGGGCTTACCATATCACTGTGACTCAACGAGCTACACGAGTAGTGTTGCTGTAGGTGTGAAGAAGGATGTTAGCAACCCTGAAAATTGTACATTCCTACTTACCTTGTTGTGGCGTTAAGATTTAAATACGAACTTCAAACAGGAAATGTATGGCCGGACTCTGTGGTGGTCACACAATACTAATGCTCTTTCTGTTTCAGGTATCCCAAGAAGGAATCAGTTTCTACTGCGTGGATAGCCAGGATTTAGTAACCGCACACACACACACTTCCATAAGCAAATAAGGCTTCCCGGACTTATCACCCATCGACAATTACCATTTTGTACACTACAATAATTTACTCGCTTGTTTATTGTGTGGTTATCATATGGGTGAATAAAAGAAGTTTCACTGAAAGAGGAACATTGGCAAGGAGTCGTTACAGAATAGTGAAAGTTTTATATTTATATAGTGACACTTGTGATTTTCGCCGTACACCGAATACTCCAGGCTGTGGTTTTTACTGTTATCGAAGTAGAAGACTTATTGGCTAATCATATCTCCTGGTTTGCTTATGTTCTGTTGGGTTTTTGTGAGGAATTTAGTGATTTTATCAGAGTTATATTTACGATGAAGGACACAACTAACCTATCGGAAATGTTTTTGCTCATCATCTTTTTTTTTTGATTCAGCACATCCTTGGTGTATAATTGTGTTTGTGCTCTGAAAAGTCAAAGATCGACAATCCCTGAGTCTATTTTTTTTCTGTTTCAGAGCATTCATCATCCAGGAATATTTGTAATCTCAAAAAGGTTCATGTTTTCTTCCATTTCTTCAGATTCACAACGCTCAGTGATGAAGTCAGAAACTTTACTTCTTAGCTAGTCATTTAATGTACTTAAAACCAGGTGCCTACATTAGTTAACAAGCCGTTAACTTTAAAACTTTCTGATTCTATCAGACACGCGTAAATTTAATATTGCCAGGTGAAAAACAGGTTTCAGAAAACTTTTTCTGGAGTGTTAAATGCTCATACCATGGTGAAGTGGATGAGTGTATCGAAATAAGCAGATAGCCTAATTTAGTAATCTTAAAGATCAGAATAAAAACACAAATATATTTTAGCTTATAGCATGGGTACATTGAGTTTTCCATATCTGATTCTAGCTTATACTGTTTGGTTATTACTGTCGGCACTGACTGAATTTTGTCAGTTAATCTCCATTGTAATCTTCAGTCTAGGAGGTTCGTCATCTAGGTGGTAGGTGCACTCTTTAGAAACAGTCGGCAGGAAGTTCTTTCAAAATTTAAAACTATTCGATAATCTTTTGACTTTATACGTGTTCAACCATCTAAGTGAAAATGATAGAAATAGAGTTATCTAGTCGGAGTTACTTTAACGTTTGAATTTTCAACTGAGCTTACGTTGTTTAGTGGATGTAGTGATAATTAAGGACTGTGAGTTAAGTGGAGACGTGATGTTGTAATTCCTATCCGTTATCCTCTCAAAGCTAAATCTAACTCAGAATGTTACATTTTTAGTGCTTCTCAGCTGGTTGGTTGAATTGCGCAAGGCTTTTATTGCCATTCCAGATAACATTTTCACTGCTTACTTCCATCTGGAGTTGCGTAGAAGAATAATGACAGCTTCTCAATCAATTCATACAGCTCCGAGAACACAAATACAGCCTACTGAGCTACAAATCTTATTCATCATTTCGAGACGTGTGCGTCGGTGGCACAGTGGTTAGGACTCTCGCCGACGATACACATGGTCCGGGATTCAATCCCCTGCCGACGCACACCTGATATCTATAGTAGGCCTGCAAAATTTGGCCTACCCATACCACATGCTGAAAATTCCATACCTGTACCAGCTTAAAAGTAGTATTAAGCGAACGATTATATTGACTACTAAAACTCATTATCATGCCTTTTCGATATTTTAGTACTTGATTAGTTTTTCGTGATGAATATCACCTGAGGGTGAATTTAAACTTTAGACACCCAAGAGGTGAACCAATGACCTTAGGACACCCGGTCAGAACAAGGCAGGTAAATAACACCACATTGATGAAAAAAAGGGTTCAGTGAAGTGTAATGACATCAAACAGGTTATCTTGTTAGCTTAGGTAAGGCTAAGGAAGGATTAAGGTTGGGATAACACTACGTACGGGTTTGGGTTAAGTTCATCTAATTAGCGCTATATATAAAGGTTGAGTTGGGCGACCTAGTTGGCTTTTGAGGTCAGCTGTTCATTCCAAACTCATTGGTGCGTTAGCGCCTATCGATTGTCTAAAGTTAAACTTTGCCACCCTTATAGGAAATTGAGAAGCCACGTCATTTCGAAGTCATCGTACTCAGCTAGCATTCCTTACATTAGTGTAATTGCGTCATGAAGATCATTCTGCATAATATATTTTTGCGGTCCATATTGTTACTGGTATTTAAACGCCACAAAATAGGAATTCTAGTCACATGGTCGTTATTTTTTTCTAATTGTAAATCTTGTAGGGACATTAATCCTTTGTGTATAGTCAATTTGTTTGAGTAATTGATCATTAGAACAGTTGTTTCAATAATTTAGCTAAATCCATTTTGTGTATGTCAGACAGTCACCTTACTGCCAACAAATGGTATACCTAGCGTGTTGCGCCAATGAGCATCAGTTGCCTTCTGTCAGTTAGTGGTTGACACTTGAGGCTTACTATTGGCATCGATTACCTAAGAGTTGAAAAGCAAAAATAATATAATGATATGTGCGTTTGTGGTTCAATGATAGATTGCTCATCAACAAAAATGTGGTCCGGAGTTCGAGTCCCGGATAGCGCACTTTAATACATCGCCTGGTTTACTAGTTAAAAAAGACGAAAGGTTGGGGCTGAGACTAGCAGCTCCACCCCGTAAAAGTAACTCCTGCATTGCCGAAATTTCAAAGCCTGAAGCCTTTGGTTCCACTTGGAGGATGAGTGAAAATAAGTTGGGAAATAGTGATTAATGTATCCACACTTTTGTAACTACGGTTATCCATACTTTGACACTGTGTACTAGACATTCAGTGAGTTGTGAGAACTATTCCTGCGACTTATCCTACACTACTGTAATCTGAAAAACAGTAGCATTATAAGCTAAGCTAATTTTCCTCCAAATTTTTTAAAAAAATTTACAAAGAGAACATTTTATTAGGTTAATTTACGGCTTGATTAGTTATTTATCGTCAATAGGAATGAAATTTCCCGACTCGACATCACGAACAACTTCATGTGGACGGTAGAATTTACCATGCATTGCAATAAAAATACCCGGTTCCTTTGACATGACTAGTCCACCGATAGCAAATGCCACATTGAAGTCGGCATCGGTATTTTTAAATACTCCTGGTCGAAAAGCACCTAAAAGATTTGTAAAACAAAATCTGTAAGTTTATAATAGGCGATAAGGTTAGTAGATTAACACATCACTTTATTATAATTGCATCGCTAGTAGTATCATTCAACTTTTAATATCTGTGTAACTTCGCGTACATGTGCAAATAAAATACGTAATAGCTTTTTCCTTGGAAGCCAACCTACACGAAGTTTTGCATATGATTTTCGCGTATTCGTCTGAAATACACATTAGGAATCTATATTGACTTATACTATGTGCGTCGGTGGTACAGCGGTAGAATGCTCACCAACCACCCATGTGGGCTAGGGTTCGACCCCCGGCCGGTGCACTCCTCGCTAATCCAGTAATAAGACTGATAAAGGGGGAAGGTTGATCATGAGGCTAGCAACCTCATCCAGTAAAAATAAATACCACTGCTACCGAAAATTCAAAGCTGTGACTTGAAGCCCTATGTTCCACTGGGAATGTAAAAGAATAAAATTTTTTTAAATGGACTTATAAAACAGCAGATTTTACTGCCTGTTCTACTCCGTGTATGGGTTAAGGGCTATTATTATTATTGGGTTTATTTTGTTCTGAGTGGAACACAAGTCTTAAGCGACACATATGATTTGACTCAACTTTTGCTTGTTTTTTCTAACTACCTTAAACTTTTACGTAATCCCCTATTTCATTTTATTTCCATGTGTAACAACATAAGACAAAGGCTAGGCAACAGATCGTTTATTTAGGAAATCAATGTACATTATTATAGATCATTGTAAGCCAGCAAACACAATCTTCTGATTGGTGGTTTCTCGCTGAACGTTAATCCTTCATCTCTTTGTGGCCGTTTCTTGAAGTTCAGATTATCTGTCTGCAAACTGTATCCGCCTATGCAAAGTCTGCTGTGTTTGGTTGTTGAGTCAGTCTTTGTTCTTATTTTTCTCATGACTAATATTGGGGACGTAAACATTGACATAAATTACTGTCCAACAATTTTGGCTAGCAGCCAACTCTCACCACACATGTACATCCTGAGCACAACTCTTGTATCAGACTATTCCTGTTATTACGTAACTCTTCTATAACAATCGTTTGTGACAACTCATCACTTTTGTTACTGCCCTCCTGTATCAACATCCAATTCCTCTGAACGCTTTTTGTATTGCGTAATTCGACCAAAAACTTACTAATTGTAGTTTCTTTTGACGAATTTAATGTACACACATATACAAAATAACCATATATATATATATATATATGCTATTGTACATCTGTGAAAATGGATTCACTGAAAAGAGACCATTCGCTGAACTACTCTACTGGTCTTCTTTCTATTAATATTAGAATGGGGATTTTTCATGAACGTCATTTTCAGTTGGTTCCACAAGTACTCATTTTCCTCTTCACGTGATTTCTTCTATGTGACTTTTGGATATCCAACTCTTCAGTTTCTACTAGAATTACTCTCGAAGGCTATTAGTTTCTTTAGACAACAGTCAATCCGTCTTTTTACTAAAATATTATTGTGAATCCCTTATTATTATTATTATTATTATTCCCTTATGTTTCAAGTGGAACATAAGTCTCCATCAGCACATAACCATTTCATCATGCTCTCTGCAGTCCTTCTTGACAGGATCCACAATTATGATTTGACACTAGTGACTAGTGTGATGCGTCTAGTCCTCTGATTGGTGTAGACTGAATTCTATCTAATACCATAAAGGCTCCACGATTGTCCATGAACTCTCACCTACTCCATGTTACTCTCAAACCTCCAACTCGTTGTTTCACTTTCAGGTTCTACTTGAATACCGACGAGTTATACTACGCAACGTTGCAATCCAACTCCATTTCAGTTCTACATATTTGTTGAGCAATAGATTCTTGGTTGATTCTTCGCCAGAGTTACTTGCTGCTTATCTTTTCTGATCGACCATCTGATCTTAAGTACTCAATGAGAGACAGTAAGTGTTGATGAAAGTCCGAAGTTGCATGTTGAAAATATTTTTCATGACATGGGCACCAAATTTATGAAGCATATAAACTCACTAATTTGACATTAGCGTTGAAAATTAGAATCTTGTTTTTTATGGTGAGTGTGCAGTAGATTTCCGCATTGATTTTAGATTAATGAAGGTTTATCTTGCTTCTTCTATCTTATCTTTGACATCTACACCTGTTCCACCTTTAGTTTAAACGTTGGTGTCATATTTCAGTTACTGTGGATATCGTAGCATTGACAATGATCAAAGTCTGTCGATTTAGTTTATAATTTATCCATTAAACTAAATGCGATAACATTATTTTTCATATTGTTAGAAAAGAATCTACAGGATACTTTAATCGCCTTGTAACCAGAAGGTCCTGGGTCCGAACCCCCTGATGAAGAGTCCAAAACTAGTATGACGGAACGGCTGTCCTGTACCCCCAGGTTTTACAATGGTTCTCTAATTGTTGTCAGCTCATGATTAAACCCTCCAACCAATCAGACAAAATTCCCTACAAAAACCAATACTTAAAAGGAATTATGTTAAAAAATAATCTCGTCAGTAAAACATTCACTTTTGGATTAAGTTTAGTACACGAAAGCGTTTTCAGTTTAATGGTAATATGCCAACAGATCCCCTGCCGATACACTAGCTTGGCCGATTGTAAGCCCAGTGAAAAAGGAAGGTTGGGCGTAAGGTCGACAAATTCACTCCGTAAAAAACACCAACGCTACTGAAATTTCGAAGCTCAAACTTGGAGCCCAGGTGTTGCACTCGCAAAGCAGACCGATTCAAAGAATATAGCGGTTTATAATTTACAAAATTTGTGATTGTTAGTAATCGACCAATGGAGAGTGTTTTATTTAAGCATACATTTATACTTCTTTGTATTGATAATACATGTTAGTTCATAAGAGAAGAATATAAAAAATTTAATCCCCTAAAGAATAAAAATGTTAGTTAGCAGTACAGATATAACGCTCTTCAAAGTGAAGTTCTAAAAAATTGAAATTATCGAATAAGAAAAGGAAATTGTGCGTTGAATACAAAAATCACTAAAGACTCTTCTCCATCCTCATAGTTTTGAGGTTTAGTTACATGGTGAGTCACTAAAACCATTTCCAACAGGCTACTGCAGTCTCTTATCAACACCTGCTGTCTCTGGCTGAATAATAGAGATTAGATGGCTGAGCAAAAATGCTAGGCAACAAGGAATTCTGTTATTCAGCGGACCAAGCAACAACCTGTCATCCAAGAAATATACCGAAAGAAATAGGGATGAATTGGGCACACACTGAAGAGACCCTTGAGTGAAATCACCTGCTAGGCCGTTGACTGGAACCCGAATGGGAAACGATGAATTAGACGTGAGTCCTAGGGCGATATATGAAGGAGATCATGGGAAGAGGAAATGAAAGCTTATAGGGAGTTGCGGGGCTAGCTGAAGAGTACTACAAAAAGCATGATGAAATTCTGAGGTGCCATTGAAATCCTGTGTCTCGATCGAAACTCAAGGGAATAATAATTACACAGAGGTTTATGTGATGAGCCTTTTTTCATGTATACAGAATAGTCACCCTATTTAACTAATTCCTTAGGCTTTTCTGAATAAACAATAACGCATTGCCTGTTTTTTCTCTTTATTTATTAACTGTATGATCAGTTGTTGTTATTATTATTATTTTTCAAGCTCTCGTTATATCACAGGGTTATGGTAATTTCACTTATGAAGACACTCTTGTATTTATCGACCCCTTTTTATTCTCTATTTAATGACAGACTCAAAAACTTCTTTGTTTTATTTTTGCATCCTTTGCTGCTTTTCTTTTTCCTACTGAAATATTAGTCAATCACACATTATTACTGTTGTTTTTTATTGTCTTATGATATGAAATAGAAAACAGAAATTATATATCACTGCATTTAGCGTTGAAAATTAACTGATATCTGAATGATGACCGTCTTTATGTTTTTTGTTTGATTAACCTAGTCAATAACTATTAATCGATAATTAGTAATTGTGTCATACTGAATGTATATGAAGTAATTTAGGCACCAAGTCTCAGTGGCACAGTATCTATCACATAGCGACGATGCGGGTATATCCAGTTGATGAGTACCAAGTAGGATGAAACATGCCTACTGGATTCTATTACTAGCCATCATAAAACAAATAACCAATGATTACATACATGACAATATTTCTAGGAATCATTTATTCCTGAGACTCGCTCGCCATTTCAGTATCATGTTTTTCATAGAACTGTGAAGGCTATAAGCAGGGTTATCCTTTTGCCTTTTACACAACTAACTGATACTGGTAGACTGAAACTTTCCGTACTAATGGAATCGTGTGAGCGCTTATTAATTCCAGGCTGCCTACATCATGAGAGTTGATTTCTCCTTAGGGTACGTGAAGCAGGAAGAGTACCAGTGTTGATTGACTGTAGAACTCAAGGGATAAGTATTTGAGGCCAACCGCATTCGGCCTCTTTGAAGGGGTTTTCTCAGTCGTATCCATATTAAAATCTTACTGTCGCAAGGCAATTCGGGATGTGCAATTTTCCGAGTAGAGATTCACTATCTTGTACCTCCGTATCGAAGGGACAGCGTGCTGGTCATCTGAGGGAAACACTTTACTGTTGCTACAACCCTGCTCCTTAGCAGTGCAACTTCGCCCACAGACCCCTAACGTAGTATAAACGACTTACACCATGACAGTAACTGCTTTTAGTCTAAATTCTGTCCGAATGACCCTTGTAATATGGTAGAACCTGAAGGAATATCAGTTCCAGACACTGTAGCTCATCGAATCATTACGATATGCAAGCCGCACTATAGCGTTAAGGTAGACGCTATTAGTCATGACTAGTCGATACTGTAGCTGACAGACATTTAAATTCGTGCAAACAGTTCTCTACGGTTATCTTATGAGATGATCAGATCTTTTACCCTGTGTCTCTCCATGTAAAGCTAGAAGCAATTTTATTCGGATATGTGGTCCTATGGTTAAATATAAAAGCTCA